CTCAATTTAACAATAAACCTGTTAAACTTGCTTCTGTGTTCGGCAATTATTCAGAGCTCAAACACTCAGTCTTAACAATTTTACATAAAATCAAGAACCTTGTGGACAACCCTGACCATCCTCTTCATCAGACTGTCATAGAAAGACAAAGTGTCTTCATTCGGAGGCTTCTTCAACTTCGCTGTAATACGGACCGCTACAGAAGATCTTTCCTGTCCACAGCCATCAACATCTACAATAAGTTTTTAGTTAAATGAGTTACAACAACACCTACAGTAATTTCCCTCTGGGATCAATAAAGTATTATTGAATTGAATTTAATATAGATTTAACATATACTGTATATTTAACATTTACCATTAAATATGAGGAAAAATGCACTAAATGTGAAKGTGCACTGATTTTTTTCTTCATTTAAAATTTACACTTGGCACCCCATACTCCACCATGATGAACTGTAGTAACTTTAAACAATCTGCTGTTACTGGCTCATTAGGGTCACCATGATAACCACACACCCTTGTCTGTCACTCCCTGGCAGCCAAGTTATTGAGAGGCAGAGAGAAAACTTTTAAACCAACAGTATGTCACCYGATTCTTTAGTTTACAGTGTCTAGTGGAGAAATATAACAAGTGAAAAGCTATAAAACTGATTTTAAAATTCTTATTGTTCTTTATAGCAAGCCACTTTAAGTCTTCCAGAGCAGAGGAGGAGAAAAGATTTTGTCCAACAGCWGCTGATCTAAGCTGGGCTAAAAATCAGAGGCAATCAGTCGATGGCTGAAATTGAATTTAAAAACTAGTCAGTGGTTCAAAGCGAAATGCAGAAACCAGTCAGGACAAGATGTTCAAGAAATAGACTCAGGGAAACATAAATAAATCATGTTAAAGGGATAATGTTTATAGAGTCTTAGAAGGTTCTCTGATATGACAGATCAGATTTTTAGTGTCACACAAAGTGACTAACAATATGTTTTCTGACAACAGTATGGATATARTCATGACTTAGTGATGCCACTCTGTAAACAGGTCATATACTCTATTATTCATGAGATACACACAGCTTGACAACATAAAAATAAATACATAATCTCAAATGAATGGTTTAAAACTTTATATAGCTCTGTGTCGTGTTGCTTGTGGTCCGATCACGGTGTTCTTTCAACACAAGTTCAGTCCTCTCACACGGTAAAACCAGCTTCTGGCACCACTGCATCAGCTGAAGTGTTTACAAATATTGTGTGTATGCCAGCAGGGGATAATTAATCACTATGTAAATGTTTACCACAAGGTAACAGCTGCACAAGTCCAATTATTCATGTGTTTATTCAGAAAGTACTGCYTAAAGCTCTTACTAATGATGTGCTACAGGACTGGCTTGTCAAGGAACCTGGCTGCACCAACCATCCCAAGAGTTGGAATCAAGCCAGCAGAGCCTCCTTTTGACTCCCAACAGAGAGGAGGATGTGACAGGAAAAGGAGCCACAAGAGGGCCCGAGATGCAGGCCAGAGGGAAAGGAAAATCAAGAAGAAGAGAGAGCAGGAGTAATAATTAGAAATTTTGATCAATTTTAATGCTGGCAAATAAATAACAAGAGTAATAATTATATGCTTATTGCAAAGTATGATTTAACAAATGCACTGTGATGATTAATGTGTTTTAATGTAAGATGGTGATTTAGAAAGAAGTGTTATTGTATGTCTTAAACGAAGGAAGGGTGTGTGTGCTATTTTGGATGGCAGAAAGTACAAAAAGTACTTCTGCAAAACAGAAAAAAGCAGAAGTGGGTTTTTTCTGGAATGTCCCAGAGGCCCTGTGGTAAAAATCAAGGTGGTTTTGACTCGCCACAAAAAGTCCCTGACAGTCCTATTACCAGAATCAGCAAGATTACTTCATTCTGGGAAGTACAAAAAAGTCCGTGGTGGAAATTCCCCAACCTTACCACAGAATGGCAGGAAGGGGGGTGAGCGGGCCCAAAAATAGTATAAAAGAGGAGCAGTTTCAGCAATAACTCGTCTTCTGGCCCCGACTGGAGAAGAGGCAGCAAAAGGCGAGGACTGCCCAAGAAGAGGAGCAAACAGATCCAAGAGACATCTCATCTGGGACACGCTGACACACTTCTCTCCAGCGATCTACGGACCGAAGACCAGATTAAAACAGCCCAGCTCTGAGAAGTCTMTTTTAGGCAACAATCTGATGCTTTTCATGGAGGTAAAGCAACACTGCTCCTACTGTCCTGCCGTCCAATAGTAACAGAAAATGCCACACAACCTAGTCATAAAGTTAGGTCAGCGCCTTAGAGACTTTTATTTTCATCACCATCAATTATTATTCAATATTTTTAACTAGGGATGTCCGATAATATCGGCCTACCAATATTATCGGACCGATATTAGCATAAAAATGTAAAATCTCTACATATCGGTATCGGTTTTTCTTCTGTTAACAAAAGCCCGATAAAATAACACATGCAGACCTGGCAACA